GGTCATGTTTGAGCTCAGACGTGTGACAATGCAGTAGAGACACTGGTGTGCCTGGCTTCAAGCCGATGTTCTCTGTCCCTAACACGTTTGTCAGTCTGAAGAATACTTGAAAACATTCTGCTTTTATTGCAGATGGCACGAGCTGAGTGGATGTGAACTTATTTGCTGTAATGTGGGTTACATTGCTGTATTTTCAGTTTATCAAGCAGACAAATCAGAACTGACACTTCAAAAATTCTAGACTTTATTTTGTACCAACTGGAGTCAAAGTACTTTTTAGAATTATTTATTTGCATTAGTGTTTTTTATTAAGGGCATTTATCTCTGCCCTGAACAGCTATTCCTGGGTCCCAGCGTGGCAAGACAGGTCCGTACCCTACCACAAGTTGATTTTCTGCACTTGGAGCTCCATGGAGGGGGGCTTTCCATCCCAACAGCACTTATCACCTCATCTGCTTTGCCTACAGTGTTCTCTTGGTGGGTGGGCTGAGCCAGATTTCAGCTGTCCTGTTGACTGTGGGAGTGCTGAGGGAGCCCTGGCTGGCATCTTATTTGAGGTGCGACTGGCTGCTGTCTCTGGGGGAGCACACAATAGGATTTAAGTAACATCTTTACCTGTGATGCCGGGAGCCCCAAATCCATGTGGGCCTTGAACCATGTGAATTTCAGCTGCAATTTCCCTGTTGCCAGTTCCTCTTCCCACCCCCTGAGATGAAACTCAGAGCACCAGATGGGTTCTCCCAAGGAAAAAACCTCACAAGCCCACCCTCCTGCCTCTTTCAAAATCAACCTGCCGTTTCTCATGAGATGTGGTTGTCATGGTGATGAGCGACCCACTTGGGAGAGAGTTAGGGGAGGGAGTTAGAGGAAGTGCTGATACAGAGGAGAGGGCCGAAAAGGGAAGACCTTTTGTTACCTGTGGACACCCCATACTGTGGGTGTGGAGTGGCGATGCTGACATCCAGGGTGTGTTCCCCTGGGCAAATCATGATCCCTGGCCTGAAGTTGCCCTAAGGCACAAGGACTGGTGGTCCTAATCCTGAGGAGGACATTGCCCCTCTCCCCATATCTGGTACAAAGTTCCCTCCCTCTGCCTGAAGAGTGAGCTCTCACCCTTAGCAGTAACATTTGTAGAAGGGGTGTCATTAACCCAGTGTCCTTCACTGGTTGTTAAACTGATTCCTTTGAGAATTTTCTGGTTGACAAGTAGTGCCATTCAGGAAGGCAGGGAAGGCCTTCAGGAAAACTAGTCCATGCAGGTAACCCACATGCTGGGGAACTTCTTCTAAGAGGGTAAAATACTGACGTGCTCTAACATGAACATAGAAGCAGCAAGGTTCGCTCAGTAGGAAAGGTCTCTGTGGAGATGGCCTCAATTAGACTTTGACTTAAGGAAATGTGAAAAGCATTTGAGGTGAGACTCCCAGAGCACCCTCTGGGAGCTTTTCCCTAGTATACCTAGGCCATAGGAGAAAGTGTAGAGCTGGGGGCGAGGGGTCGGGGGCAAGGGGAGAAACTTGGCTTCATTTGGATCCTTAAAGAGATAGTGGTCCCCAAGCCAGTCTTAGCTTTTCAGACAGGGACACTGTCCATTCAGATTGGCCAGCATGGTACCCACAGAGGTAGAGTCCCTAGGTAGATCACGGTCCTCTTGGTGGGGGATGGATGGATTCTGTTCCTGGGGTGGAGCTTTTGTTCTTATCATATTACTATTGTATTGGGGGTGCCTTGTGACATCTACAAAAGTTCCTACACTCTATCATAGTTGAATTCATCCCCTCCATCATTCTTTATCCCTCCTCTCCCATTCTTGAGACCTATTGAAACTGTTCTGTTTTTCCATTTTCATGCCTAAGTATGCAGTATTCCCACCATGCACATCCTCCTACACCCTTTCCTTATATCCTCCCCCTTCCCACTGGTACCAGCCCTCAGACAGACCTGCTTTACCTTCCTATTCTCTGTTTTTGTTTCAAGGTATCTACACAGAGAGCTTCATTATGACATTTTCATGTGTACCTGTATCCCAAATTGGTCCATCCCCTGGATGGAGAATTTTGAAGGATGGGAGGAGCATGCCAACAGTCTCAGATGAGCTGGAGCCTGGCCTTGGGATGTACCTGGGCAGCAGAGCAAGGGCAGGACACCGTGTGGTCTGGCCAGCTTATGAGCTTGAGTGGATCAGGAGTAAGGATGGTCCTCTGGACTTTGCCGTGCTTTGAATATGCAGTAGTTTGAGTGTGTCCCCATTCCAAGGGCCCCTGTATTGAAATTTAATCCCCATTGGGAGGTAATTTAGAGGGTGGAAACTTAGTCCAATTGTTTGGCGGGGGGTGAGGGGCCTTTGGGAGGTCATTAGGATCAGATAATTTTTTCAGGGTGGCGCCCCATGACTGAATCCTGGTTGCTTTATGCAAATAGGGAGAAACCAAGAGAGACACATGGTCTCTTGCCTTTTAATAGTCTGTGCTGCCTCAGAGCTCTGCCAGCAAGAGGGCCATCACCAGATGCTAGATGTTAGACCTCTAGAACTGTGATCCAAAATAATCCCCTTTTCATTGACACCCAATCTGTGGTATTGTGCTGTTGGCAACAGAGGCTAGACAGACAATCCAGGCTTCATCCAGAGGGCAGGGGCGGGGTCTACCAGACATCTGACCTGCCTGGCCCTGGCTGCACCCCCTTAGCTCCAGGAGGGCCAGAGCCATGTGGCCTTCCCTGAATGTGGTTGGGACATCCCTTTTATCCTCTGTTCTTTTTTTTTTCTTTTATTATTCATATGTGCATACAAGGCTTGGGTCATTTCTCCCCCCTGCCCCCACCCCCTCCCTTACCACCCACTCCGCCCTCTCCCTCTCCCCCCCACCCCCTCAATACCCAGCAGAAACTATTTTGCCCTTATTTCTAATTTTGTTGTAGAGAGAGTATAAGCCATAATAGGAAGGAACAAGGGTTTTTGCTGGTTGAGATAAGGATAGCTATACAGGGAGTTGACTCACATTAATTTCCTGTGCATGTGTGTTACCTTCAAGGTTAATTCTTTTTGATCTCACCTTTTCGCTAGTTCCTGGTCCCCTTTTCCTGTTGGCCTCAGTTGCTTTTAAGGTATCTGCTTTAGTTTCTCTGCATTAAGGGCAACAAATGCTAGCTAATTTTTTAGGTGTCTTACCTATCCTCACCCCTCCCTTGTGTGCTATCCTCTGTTCTTGAAGGCCATCCTCACTCCTCCCTCTATGCCACCCCATTTGTCCCCCACCGCCTCTGCAATCCAATGGTGTCTGTGGTCATGGAGAGGACTCTTAGCCAGGAGTCATTCTGACTTCTTGGGGTGCATGTCTGGTCCCACCAATGCTGGGAGGCTGGACAGGTCCTTTTCTTTTTCTGTAAACCCACCAGGGCAATGGAATTGCAGCAAGGAGTGTGGCAGTCACACTCTAGGACAAGACCTGGCACCTCATTGTGTCACCTAAGCACTGTAGGAACCAGCAGTTGCCTTTAACACTTAGAGCCTCAGTTTCCCTACCACAGAAGTGAGAGTGGGAATATCCATCAGGGAGGGGAAAGGCTTTGTGACCCCCATCATTCTACATAAAGATCACTGTCATGAATGTCATCTTTGCCTTGTTGTTCGGATTCAGAATTTGTTTCCAGGAGGTCTTGGGACTTCAAGGAGATAGCTTACCAGACCCACTTGGGGGTTTGGACAGTGATTGTCCTGCTGTGGTCTTGCTTACATCTTCTGCTTGGTTGAAAGTACTAGATAGAGAAAATATACCTAAGCCTTAAATTCTATTAATTTGAAGTAAAGGAAATATGGTTTGATATCCTTTTTTTTTTTCAGTATTGGAGATTGAACTCTGGGACTGGAACTTATTAGGCAAGTGCTCTACCACTTGAGCTATACCCCCTTTCTCTTTATTACTTTGTTTTTCAGATAGGGTTCCACATTAAAGAGATCGTGGACCTCCCACTTCTGCTTCCCAAGAAGGTGGAACCACAGGCATGTACCACCATGCATGACTTGATATCTTCTTTAAGAGAAGACTTATGACATATTAAATGGAACATGTTGTTTTTGGTAGTAGTACATTAATTAATTTGCATTTATTCTCAACCAGGAATTTAGGTTTTTGACAATATGATTTTAACTCTTGAGCACTGTTGGTAGGAATGTACACTGGGATAGCCACTGTGGGAAACAGTATGGAGACTTCTCAGAAGTTAAAAATACACTTGCTATGCGATTCCACTGATGGGTATATATTCAAAGGAATTTAAATCAAGGTCTCAAAGATGTATATTCCCACTATGTTCTTAGCAGCGGTATTCACAATAGCCAAAGGGTAGGAATAACTCAAGTATCCACTGATGGATAAATGGAATAAGCAAAGTGTCATACATATTATGGAATATTATTCACTCTTAAAAAGGGAAGAAATTCTGACACATGCTGTAACGTAGATAATCTGAGGACATCATGCTAAGTGAACTAAGCCAAACACAAAAGGATAAAGTCTCTGATTTCACTTCTCAGAGGTGCTTAGAGGGTCAGATTCATAGGAACAGAAAGTAAAATGGTGGTTGCCAGGTTAAGGAGAGAAGGGAACGGGAAATTGTGGTTTCATGGGTTTTAATTTTGTAAGATGAGATGCATCCTGGAAATGGTGATGATGGTTGCATGACAGCATGAATGTATTTCGCACCTTTCAAATGGCGCAGATAGCTCAGTGGTGAATTGTATGTCATGTGTGTTTTATTACGATTAAAAAATAATAAAATTTAAAATGATTAAAAATCTTTTCAGAGGTATAAAATTGTGTGTATCGACTGTACAACAGTTTAATTAAATACATATGTAGTCACACAGACTCACATGTGCTTACACTTACCTACACACACACATGCATTTTACACAGTTGAATCCCCCTGAATGTCCAGGTTTTCTATCTGTGTTCATTCTCCTAGCATATAAAACACAATCTTTAACTTCGGGTTTCCAGGTCTGCAATGGTTTGGAGCAGCTGAGGAAGCAGCAGCGCTCGATCTCAATGGACCCATTGACAATAACAACATCCCAGAGGTAAATTTTCCCAAGGATGAGAGCTCTGCGCTAGGTCCTCGTGCCCACACCTGACTCTCCACAAAGTTCTCATCCCACCTAGCACAAGGGGGGAGAGAGTCCAAGTCAAGGCAACCTGGGTATTGCTACGTGGGGAGGAAGTGAGGGTGCTCTGGCCTGGGAGGAGGAAGGAGAGGGCCGCCGGGCTTTCCTGATGATTCACAGCTGCACCGTGGACTCTTTTTTCATGGTGTGGGCTGGGGATCATGTGGGGCGGGTGCTCCCTGATGTGATAGAAATTCGATCTCTTCCATTGTTCGAGGACCATGTTGGAAGCTGGCTTTCTCAACAGTGGTACCATTAACATTTAGAGCTAGACAGTTCCTTGTTTGGGGCATGTCTGTGTACTATAGGATGTTTACAAGCATCCCTGTCCCTGACTTCCACCTACTAAATACCAGTACGTACTACACACAACCTCTAGTTACAACAACCAAAAATGTCTCCAGACTTTGACACATTGTCTCCTTGGGAACAAAAATTAACCTGGTTGAGAACCTCTGTTCTAAACCAACAACATGGTTTTAGCAAACATTCCCATATATACTAATGATTAGTTATTAATAACTAATGATGGTGGTTATTAAAATAAGGACTGAAGCTAGTTATTCCCTCTCCGGTGGGTAGCAGAGTTGAGATGCGGTACTGTAGCTTTGATGAAATAACTACAGGGTCGACCATGGAGTAGCATGCAGTCTCCTTTATCTTGTTTTTGTAAAGATGAACCCTTGAAGTTCTCATGTCACCAGTGGGAGAACCACTGGGATAATCTGGTCTCTAGGCTCCCTTCTAGCCATGGCATGCTAACCTGAGAGTCTCTGAGATTTAGCTGGTGGGCCGTTGTGCCCCGTCTGAATATCATGTTGCCTGCATTCATCTTGAAATTTAGCTTATTAGCAATTCAGAGCTGGCTGTACAGAACTGGCTTCTTGGGAACACCATCCACTCACGGGCTTAGACTTTTTATGTGTTGATGCAAATCTGAGTGTAGTTCTTGTGGGTGACCTGTCTGCAACTTGTGTCATGTTTTCTATTCTTTTTCTTATTTCCTAACAGACAAAGAAGGTGGCATCATTTCCAAGTTTTGTGGCTGGTAAGTGACTTTGAATTTTATCTTTCAGGGGAAGTTCTATTTTGTATCAAAATGAATGATGCTTTTATTTGTGGTTTTCTCCTGAAGAGCTTGTTTAGAAAGCAGTTTCAGGCAGTGAGCTGGACATGTGAGTTTTTGAGTGCTACATAAACCCACTGAGTGGGGAGGAGTGTCCTGCTCATTTTTCTGCTTTGACATCAGGAACGGTAGACCATTCATTTAATTACTTCCCTGCTAATTACATCACAGATGACACTGGTGACTGAATTAATAGATTGAGATGTATCTGCATAAACAGCTAATTATGACTCAGTGCTTTTAATCATGTGGATATAATGGCAGCCATATTCAGGCCATTCTTTTGTACATCCTTTATTTCCTTTCACCCTCCTTTCCTTTTCAGGAAAGGATGTGTGTCCACATCACATAAAGACTAAAACTAACTGACTGCTTCTGTATCACTTTTTAGTGTGGGCTTACACCTGCATGGCTGTTGATGAAGTTGACTTTGTATGGTCATCAGGGTATCAGGTGCCCTTGAGGGACCCCGTTAGGGGCTCCTGTGGGTTGCTTCTCATGGTCAAACATCACAGCAAAGAGCCTCTGGAAGAGGATCTTTCTCTACGCCAGGAGGATGTTTCTTGCCTCTGCTAATGTGTTATTATAAACAATGAATTTTATTCTTTCAATAAGTTGATAATTAATTCTTATGAATATTTATTGGAGCAAAGTAAATTGGCTTTCAGAAATAAATGGCTTTAAACCTTTCCCATTCTACTTTTCTTTTATAGTAAATAAATGAAGGCTAGGAAACTGAAGCTCCCAAATTCCCCCTTAAGGGACTAATTTGAACCAGTCTCAACCAGTTTCAGCTGGTTAAAAGTGGATTAAGTAGCCCAGTGTCTTTCAAATGGGATGAAAATCAGTTTTAAAATGTCAGAACCAATATTTACAATCCAAACAGACTGGACTCCATTTCACCAAATGCAAATAGGCTCAAAGGGATTTTTGCCTGGCAGTTTGCATGTGATTTTAGGGTCAAAAACATACTCCAGCTGGCGCAAACTGGTTTTTATCAGGTCACAACAGGCTATGATGAGTCCAGCCCAACTGGCTGGTTGTACTTTTTCAGGATTTAATGACTGGCAGAGGAGACCATGCTCTCCACATCACCCCACAGTGAGGTGTGACTGGGCGTCCTGATCATAGCAGGCAGCATCTCAGTCATCAGTGGTATATCTCTGTACCATTTTCCCTGGTGGTTCAAAACCAGGGTGGCTGCTCACCAGTCACACTGCCCCAGTGAGGACCTAAGAGGTGCACTTGTCAACGAATCATGACATCATTTAGAAAAGACTCCTAACGCCCCCCTTGTCTTAAGCTGATCTCCTATCTGCGAAGCAGGAGATTACAGTGCTCCAGAGACAGCATCTGTATCAAGGATGCCTCTGACTTCCAGAAAATTCATTTTTCTGGTTCACCTCAGACTGTTCCAAACCAAATCAAACCAAAACTGCTTGACTAGCTCACACCAACATGAGCTCTTTAATTGTTATGAAAATACAGAGACCTTAAGCAAAAACATATCTCCTCATATTAGGAAATTCATATTCAACAAGGCCTTCATGGACTAAATGAATCCTACTCAACAACCAAAGAGATAATCATGAGGTTCATGAAAAACCCTAGAGTATAGTGATCATGAAAGACCATCCCCAAATTAAACACCTTCATGAGTTAGGAATGCTTTGGGTGCAAGTAACCAACTAACATTAGCTTGTATAAGTAGAGAAGTATGCATGCAGCATAAAGAAGTCTAGAGGTGAGTGGCTACTTATTTAGTGACTTTGTGATAATCAGGATTAGCAGTTTTGCTTCTCTAGACCTTGTCCTCAGGCTTGTCACCTCATTGTCACATGATGTCTAGTTAGTTCAGGCCATTGCTTTCTGTTCCAGGCAGAAAGAAGAAGAGAGAATGGAAAAAGTCCAAGCCAGCGGTGTTGTCTGCACACACAGTAGGAAGCAAAGTGTTCCTCTAAGTAAAGAAGTCGTGAAAGTGTGAATGTTAATTGAATATTAAAATACTTTGAGATCTTTTCATCACATTTCTTTTCTTTATTGGCCAGAGCTATGTCACATGACAACCCTCCCCTACCCCCCAATTTTAGTGTTACCTGGCATTCCATGAAGGCCGGAGAGAAGGTCTGGCGGGTGTGGGTTGAGTGAGCAAGTCTTCAGTGTATGATGGTGAGCATGTCAGCCTCCTGGGTCTGTAGAGTACTGAAGCTGAGCATCTGAAGAACCAAGACGACAAGGAGTCTGTGTGACTGTAGCAGGAGAGTGGGCCTCCCATCTCATCCAGCTCTGAGAAGTCGCCTTGGAGGGAGGCTTTCGGGGGTATTATTAAGAGACTGCCTCTGACCCCAGCTCATGCCCTGTTTCCCATTCCATAATTGATCATGATAATGAGAAACAATATCTACAATAAAGTGACAGCATCTTCATCTTAATATTTTCTGGGGCTTAGTGTGTGCTGTATGCCCCCATGCTATATGTCTGTATCTTGTCACCTGGTCAGCTGCTACCTGGAGAGAAGGGACTTTCTGCCTATTTTACAGGAGAGAAAATGGCAGCACAGTGAGGATGAAATAACTCATCTAATGCCCCGTGGTAATGAAGGGTAGGACCTAGACTTGGACCTATCTATGGATACATGAGAACATTAACTCTTAGCTGAAGTGATTGCTTATCTCCCCAACAGGGCTTTGATACATGAAGCCCTGGGTTCAAGCCCCAGAACCAAAAAACATTTTTTTTAAATAATGAGGATAGGTAAAACACATCTAGTGCTTACCTTGTTTGAGCCAGGCACCATCTAATTGTTTTATATATCAACTTCACAATCACGGTATTAGCAGTAAGAAATAGGTTCTGTTACATCGAGGAAACTGAGACTTATCAAGGGTGCATCATTGGTCTAGGTTGCCAGTTGGTAAGTGGTAGAACCAGGATTGAAACCCAGGCTGTCATCTCAGTTCATAACCCCCACACAGTATGGCCTGACCAACCCTCAGCGTGCTGAGGAAACCATTTGTTTAGAGGAGATATAACATTCAGGTTACTGGAGGAAAACCTTGCAGATTTCTCTGTCATCAGAGGCACTCACAAGAAGAGCCTCCCATGATTTCTGTCTGTGGGAAGTGCTTAGAGTCCAGGACCCTCTCAGATTGAGAAGGTTCATACTGCAGAGATAATCCTGTGTGAAAGTGCTAATTGCACAGAGGACTCACTGCTTCACCACAGGGAGGAGTCCTGAAGTGGCAAGGGACAGTGGGTACCTCCAGGACATTCCTGCTGCAGGAGATGGTGGCTGGTAGCAGTGTAAGTCCAGGGAGACCCAACGGTTGCCAGGTCTGAACAGGTATATGTAAAAGTCTAACTTCTATAAAATTAGGTATATATCTAAAACTAAAATGTTGGCATTGGTCCCAAGCAATGGCATGTAGCAGTGATAATGTCAGTACAAAGTAACAAAGAGCAATAGATCATACTCTGTCCCTCACACTTTGTGTTCCTTTCAAGGTAACAACCAAAGCTCATGCAGGATGTCCTGAAACCTCTTACCCCACCCCCAGCTCCAGGCTCATACTGACATGGTGCTTTGCCTCAAGTTTTGGGGCTCTGGGGACCCCCATGGCTGCATACTGGCCACATGGAAGAATGGGGACCCCAGCCCTGGGACACTTGGGCCTGGGACTGAGCTTCCCCCTTATACCATCCTTCTCTCAGGAGTCCTCGTGGTATAAAGCCATCTCATTGGTTTCATATAGTAGAACCTAGGATCCGAGACTTGGTTTGCTTGAGCAACTGTGGCAAACCTGCTCAGACGAGACTCCTAAATTGAAGCCATCTCAGGGCTCCTCCTCTTCAGCTGTAAGGAGGTCGGGGCTACTGAGCTGCCATGAGTCTGAGGTGCTCTTGGCTGAACAGGAGTATGGCGACACCGTGGGACCAGAATGGTTATGGGGGTCCCAAAGAGGGGTTATGAAAAGCAAAGCAACTTTCTCTTTTTTACATATGAGATCATTTTTCTCCTGTACTCAATGCAGTGAGTATTACATGTTTTAAAATAGGAACGAAAATGAATTGTACCCCAGAAATCTCCATGGAACGTTCCCCTTTTCTGCTCAAACAGGGTAAAAAAAAATCTCTTATTCCAGACCCTGTATCTTCCCTGCAGTGGAAGCCACTGTTGAATTGCCCATGAATCCTTCCAGAAATTTCTGGGACATATACTAGACTACATATAGATCATTTGCTTAAAATACGTATTGCACTGACCACATGGGTCTGGACTTTGTGCTATCATTTTTGGGTAGATTTTGGAGACAGCGGTAGGTCCACCCACGTGATTATTTAAGTGACACCATAGCATCTGTTCCATGAATGTACAATGGTGTATTAACCAGCTCCATGGACATGCGGCAGTGTTAACCAGCTCACTGTGGACCAGCTCATAGGCAGTTTCCAGTCGGTGCCACAGTGATCAGCCTGTGGATATGCCTTTGTGTTCAGGTGCGACTTATTTCCTGGCATCGGTTCCTGGTGAGAGCAAGGTTCCAGAGCAGGAGCACAGCAACTTTGACAGACATGGTTGAGTGCCTTTCCAGAAGGGGACAATGGACACTGCCCTTGGTTGTGATGGGCATACTACTTCCCATGCAGTCACCAACACTCTGTGCCATCTAGCTAACTGATTTGAACCTGAGATATCAACTTAAAAGGAGGAATGATTTATTTGGGCTCATGGTTTTGGGGTTTCACGCCATGATTGTTTAGCTCCCTTGCTTTGAACCTGTGATGAGGCAGAACGTGATGGTGGGTAAAGTGTAGTAGAGGAGAGCTGCTTACCTCCCAGCATCCAGGAAACAAAGAGAAGACAGGAAGGAGATGGGATCCCAATGTTCCCTATAAGGACATACTCCCAATGACCTGACTTC